TGTGTGTGTGTGTGTGTGTGTGTGTGTGTGTGTGTGTGTGTGTGTGTAGGTCTTGAAGATGTGACAGACTACGACCCTAACCTCCTCAGTGACCCCCAGTGGCCTTGTGGGAAACACAAACGGGTGCTGATCTTCGCCTCCTACATGGTAAAAAACACTTTTAGATTATTTCAAGAATGTGCTTCATTACATATCATTCTACATTTTGATTACAATTCTCCTAACCTAACATGTATCAGCAGTAAATATCCAGGGATTATTTATGCGTGACGACAGATGACACCAGCGTTTTGTAGGGATGAAAATGATCTTTAGAAGCTTTATCCAGAAAGTGACAACTGCACTACCGTGAGGTTAAGAACAAACGTGCACCAACATATTTAATGTTCTACGAGCAGAATGAAAAAGTGAAGGAGAGACGGGAAGAGAGAAAATAAAGATGCAACGACAGAAGTGCAGAGGAGAAAGAAGGATTGAGGATTATAGACCCCTGAGAAGAGAATAATCGCTCCTGAGAAAAGACATACACATTCATTAGTGCGTGCGTGCGTCAACTTAAGCCTGGATCTGGTGATCCATTTTCTAAATCTGATATAAAATGTTTTCTCTCCTGTGTTTACGCGTGTATAGATTTTGACAGGATAATCTTTCTAAGTTCCTTAAATATGTTGTTTCATCTGTGAAACAGGTGGAAAGAAAACCTTTAGGCAGGTGAAAACATTTGTTTGTAGTGTTTGTTGTTGTAATACTCATTTCTGTCCAAAAGAGGCTGAAGTGCACCCCTACCACATGTTCTCAATACTACTTAAAGCGTTCATGTCTTCTCCCTGGTGAGATCCATTATTTCCATGTACTCTAAAGATGAGGTACAGGTGTTAGCCGTTAGCAACTTGTGTAATGTCACATCTGTCTTGGCTTTAAATGTATTTCAATAGGTGCTAATCTGCCGTTAGGGAAATCATGAATGCTTTTAGCCCTATAAAGAACATTGTGTAGTGGTCCACTTCAACTTCTTGTGGCAGAAATGAGTATTACAACAACAAACTCACACACGCACAACATAGAAAGTCTATCCTGGCAAAACCTTTTTTCCCCTGTTCACAGTTTAGTTTAGATTCAATTTAGAAAATGGTTCACCAGGTTCACTTGCCTCTCAGGACTTCTGTTATGATGTGTACCTGAAAATAAAAAGATGAACTACTCCCACCATTATTCTCACACTCTAATTGTAAAGCTAGAGTCTTTTATAACAGTAACAAAGACATTCATTCATTTTTGTGAAGCAGGATTCAACCTACATTGTTCCAGGTTGTGAACTGCACATACACAACACTTATTTTATTAACTGATGTCTAATATTTAATAAAATACCAATAAAAGCACAAGGATACTTAACAGGCATGGGCATGGCTGTACTGTTGGCAGTTTGTGCTCCGAGTGAAGCAGTCGGTGTTTACTTCATCGTGAGGTTCAGTGACCGTTGTTTGACTTTTAAATGTCTGTGCTTACACTTTCACATGACGACACATCTCTCCTTTCCTGTTTATGCATTCTTCTCTTCCTCCGCTCCTTTTCCTTTGTTCTGTTTTCTCTGTCTTACTTTACATCTTCTCCTCTCGTCTTTCATCCTCCAGACAACAGTCATAGAATACGTCAAACCGTCTGATCTGAAGAAGGACATGAACGAGACGTTTAAGGAGAAGTTTCCTCACGTTAAACTCACTCTCAGCAAGATACGCAGGTAGTATTTGAAGTGAATTGACAAAATACGCTTAAATGCATTATTATGATAATAAAATACTCAATTTGTTTTTATATACAGCACGGCATTCTACATGTTGCTGAGACTACCGTAAGATTATCAAACCTGTCTTTGACTTTTATACGGTCTTTGTCTCTCAGTCTGAAGAGAGAGATGAGAGTAGTTGGGGAAGATTGCGGTATGCAGCCCGTCACCATCGCGATGGCGTTCGTCTACTTTGAGAAGTTGGTGCTGCAGGGTCGACTCAATAAACAAAACAGGTACTTTCAACATATTAGCCTCATATGTTTATTTAACAGAACAGATACGCAACATGGATCGTCAATATGGACATTAATTGACGGTGTACGTGTTGAGTCCACAGTGTGTGGTGTCGGAGTGGCTCTCTTTTGTGTTAATTTTTAGTTAATATCATAAAAGTGGTAAAAGAAACATCAACACTTTCCTATTACCATTTTCATGATTTATTCAAGACATTCTATAGATTATTGACCCATCTCTGTTTAAAACTGAAAACTGAATTCTCTCCTTCATATTGACCGTGTTTGGTATAACTTTAATTTATACAGTTTTAACGCCACTTTGGATGTTGTTTTGCCAGAACTAGCTAGTTCTGGCTTCCATCAGTTAGTTGCACATACACCACGGGGTAAAGCAGTGCAAAACAAACAGTGAATGTTGTTAGACTGGACAGTTCAATCTCTCATGAGCTCCTCTTTACTGCTGTGGCTTTACAGGAAGTTGGTGTCGGCTGCCTGCATCCTACTGGCTGCTAAGATCAGCAGTGATCTCAAGAAACAGGAGGTCAAACACCTCATAGATGTGAGTCACACACACACACACACACACACACACACAGAATAGGATCATGGTGGTTACCTCTGCCTGTCAGTGAGCTCATGTTGCTCAGGTGCTTGTGAAGCTGATCTACCTGAGCAGATGGAAAACTGACCTGCAGCGTCTCTGAGCTGCAGGTCAGTTTCTGTCCTTCACAGTTAGCTCACGACTCTCCTCGCACACCGTAGAGAACAATCGGACGTAGTAGTGTTGTCATCAGATCCCAACTGGTAAAGTGGAAATTTGAGCTTATCAAAGAAAAATCAGCGTGTGTGTCAGCTGATAAGTAAAAACAAACGTCGGCACAGAAATCACAATATGTTTTTGGTAGAAACAGTATCTCCGTTACTCCAGGAAGTACCGACACGTTTGTTTTTCAACAATGCAATGTTCCAGTCAGTTCTTATCTTGGTTACAATTCTTTAATAACCATATTTAATAGCCTTATCACAAAATGTTGATTTAATTTGTCAATTAATAGTCAATCAATTACATCAAATATGAAGCGAAAATGTTAAACATATGTGACCATTGGGAGAAATTGCTGTTTTACTGTTTTATTTTATTGTAAACTTTATTTTGGGGTTTTAGACTGTTAAAACAAGTCTCTAAAGACGTCATCATGTTGTTGACAGATTAATGTAAATAATCTATTGATTACTGGGATGTATAATAATGATGAATCCTGTCTCAGATTACCAGATTTTATACTAATTATTAGTAATTATTTATTTAATTTGAACCTTTTATAACTTAAACCATTAATGAATGCTTTTGATGCAGTCATATCAGAATTGTGTTGATTTTGGCATTATTTAAGTAAGTAGGGTGGCCCTGTGGTGAAAAGAGAAGATACCTGATGACATGTTTTTACACTTGTGTTTTGTTAAGAGTTGCACTTTTTACCTCAGAGCCACCTTAAGAAGGTATTGTATCTCAACACTGAATTTTAGCTTCAAAAGGTATGAAATTCATCCTCTAATAGTCCAATAAAAAAGAAAATGGAAAGTTAAAAAGCCATGTTGAAAGAAAGCATCGTGTCTCTCGTGCTTGTGTTTGTGTTGCATCTCTGTAGAAGCTGGAGGAGCGTTTCAGGATCAGCAGGAAGGAGCTGATATCGTTTGAGTTCACCATCCTGGTGGCCCTGGAGATGGCGCTGTACCTACCGGAGAGCAAAGTCATGCCACATTACAGGAAGCTGGTGCAGCTGCAGCAGTCAAAGCAGTGACATGCTGATTCCTCCCTCCAGCGACTCTCAGAGGTACGAAGTGATCCTCCTCCTCTGTGCTCACAACGCAGACACCAAAGCTCATCCACACTGTCATGGTAGTACGACAGCCCAACGGCTCGGCAGCACAGACATCGCCTGCTCTCCTCCCTCAAACACCAAAGTGACGACACACTGTGATCGATGGTTCAGCAGCAGGACTGATGCCTGGCTCAACAGCACCACGAGAATCACTGATCACTCATCATAAAGCTCAAAAGCATGTCTTTCTTAAAGGAAATTATGTTTTGTTGTTGTACGGTTTCCCTCACTATCTTAGTAATGGAAACTCTGCTGAACACGGCTCTCTAAGGGTTGCTGGTTGAAACTTTAATCATTTTGGTTAAATCTGAGTTTATGTGGAACGCTTGTTAAACTGTGTTGAGTAATCCTTTCAGAAATTTCTGCATTTGAGAATGTGAGTAACTATTGGCCCAAAAAATCCAAAGGTTTCCCTTCAAGTTTTACCGCTGCACCTGTAACCTCTTCAAGTTTTACAGGATAGCTTCACAGTTTTTCAAATCAGTGGAGAAAATTATTTCCAAACTAAATCTAATCAGAAGAGCCATTTTAAAAAACACTTTCATATTCACATCCAATCAAATTACTGCCATGGGGTTTCCAAAATTACAATTTCCCAAATTTCTTGACAACTTTAGAGTTGACTGTTTGTGTAACACTGTGGGCCGAAGACACTGAGACTGTGAGAACGAAGAAATTGGAGATAAAGGCTGAAAATAACCTTCCTTACTTTAGTTTAAATGTGCTGACATGACAGTTACTCAACAAAACGTTTTGTGCATTTGACAATCGTTGCTTTTCAAAGCATCTTAAATCAATAGTGCCGAGTGTTTTCAGCAAATATAGCAAAGATTTGAACAACATTCACTTATTGTATAATGTTTTGTTGTGAGATTCAATTTAAGCAATACATCCATGGGAGGGAATTGATCGAGCACTGTGGTGACTGCAGTTCCCAGCGCTTCCTTGCATCCTGTCCTCTCTTCACACTGGTTTCACTGGTCAGGAGTTTAGTTTGGACTCTCGCTTGCATTAATGACATTGCGTCAGCACTTTTCTGTGTGCAGTCCTGATGTTACATCCTTTGTTCTCTCTGAACGTCCAGACGGCTTTTTTCTGAATTATCGGCATGATTTTTCGAGGCTTCTGCTTGTTTCTTGAAGATGTTTACACCACCACTCAATCGCTTCTTCACTGCTCTGAACGTGATTTCATTTATCGAGGGGTAGGTTATCATGAGCCCGCTTTACTGTAACAAATATTACGATGTTTAAGTGCCTTGCCTAAGGGCACCTGAATTTTGGTTGTTTTTCTATTTCGTCCGTCCGGATCCAGGGATTCAAACGGGACACTTTATCTCCACCTCTCCTCTGTATTTTCACCTCTGTCTTGCTCTGATGTTGTCGTCCCTCCACCAGCAGATGGCTGCTCACTCTGGTGGTCACAGAGAAGCAGTGCATCCTCAGAAACATGCTGTGATGATGAGAAGAAGCAACAGATGCATCGCATGCACAGCATCACTGTCATTGTCATATAAACACCGTGTCCGACATGCTCTGCATTTCAAGGCTTCTTCAGATGCAACCTGAACGATTCCTTCTTTTGCCCAAGTTTGGGGGACGCAACAGGTGTTTCCTTTTGAGGGTCTCTCATGTCCCAAAGCGATGTAACTCATTATGATACCATGTTGAATCAAATATGAACGTTTGCTGGTTTTCTTGTTCTGACAAAACAAACCATTTGAATATGTTAACCTACATTTTATATACCAATGTTTAATGAATATATTGAGAGAATAAATTACGGATGGAGGCTGTGAAGCAAAGCCCTGAAACAAACACACCAGCTCACTTAAGGTACAACAGGCCTGTAACGACGGTCAGCATTATTATTATTATTATTATTATTATTATTATGTTTTTGGGACAGGACAGCTTGTAAAGGTGGAAATAACTGCAAAGACGTTATTCGTGTTTCTTGAAGGCAACTTGCTGTAGCTACAGATTTCCTGAGGCAACATCAAGTACCAACAAGACCTTCCTGTTCATAAACTACCTTAGAAAGAACTCAAATATAATTTATTCTGTTATTTTTTATTTTACTGTATCATAAAGGGACAGATATTTAACCAGAGGCCTCTATCAGGTGGTTTGTGCCTGTTTTTCCTCCTCTGGCAGTAAAATCTGCTTTATCCAAAACCAAAGTGGTCACCATTTCCTACAGACGGCCATGTTGGAGGAGAGACGACAGCACAAGCACTTCCTGTCGGGCCTCTGTTGTTTTTGCACTTTGCCTTTTTGCTTCACGATCCTGACTCTTAATTTCATCACTAAGTAACGAGGATAATAATATTTTTCTACATTAAATGTGTAAAGTATGTTATTGTATATTGAAATCTGACCGATTCACTGAGATGTATTTATTGCTAATAATCCTCCGGATGAAGAATCATGTTTACGATGAAACTCTGAGCCGATGATGCAAAGCAGATAATTCTGTTGGAAACAAGGTTCTGGTTTTAAAATATGATTCTTCATCTGGAGGTTTCCCTTCAATGGTCTTCCTCTGATGTTGTTTTCTTGTGTGTGTTAAAGGCACTTTGTTGTATTTTGGAGTCTGAGTGTTGGAGCAGAGGAGCTGATGGATACTCGCATGGTATCGTGTTTCAGGTTGTTTTGTAGCATAAAGCTGTAGGTTTCGTTTTGGTTATTTCAAACAAAATGTTCTTTCCTCTCTGAGCGGCAATCATCTTCAAAAACACCAAGTGGGAAGAAGGGAATGACCGTTTCATTAGCTTGAATTAGCCAATAAAGGCTGTACCGAATAGTTCGAGGCTTCATTCATTACGTTGACATTCAAATTTTAAAACATTTGAATGCTGCAAAACCATGTTGTAGTTTTTATATTATATTTGTCTTTCCTTCCATGCAGCCACTGTTTGCCATTCATTCTGGTTCATCATGCAGCACACTCTTGAAAATCAAGTTGTGTAACATCACAGTAAAATCTACTTTTTTTTTTTTTTCTAGTCAATTAATTGTTGTGAGCTAATGCGAGGAAATAGTTTTGCATGAGTTTGAACTAAAACTGCATTGTAATTATTAAAATTAATATAAATGAATGTAATATTTTTTTAAATGCAGATTAAAGTTGTGACAGAGTGGATTACTGGATAAATCGACTGAAAGAAAATCAATGTGTAACTATTTTAATCCTCAATAATCATTTTTGTTAAATTTTAAAGCTAAAGTATTTGAATATTTGCTGGTTTTAGCTTCCCAAACGTGAGGATTCGTTACCTTTAGACAGTTGGTCGAAGACAAACAATTTGAATGCAGGGAAATTAAGTCATTTTCCACTATTGCATGACATTTAACCCCCCCCCCC